TTTTCCAAAAGTAATTTGACATTTTAACTTTTCATTGCTATTCATGGACAATATCTTCAAAATCTTAGCAATGCTGGTGGGACAAAATCCTTGACTTTCTGCCCAAATTTAATATAACTTAATTTACCAACAAACTTCACACACATGCTAGACGTGATGATGAAGAAGGACAGCACCCATCCAAAAAACAGGAGGTCTCCAGACACTTTGCTAGACAGATTTTCTCACTAGTGCATGACCTTCTTTTACAGCCCTTACAAACTGCCTAAACCAGGAGATTAACTGGAGCTGCCTTGTCTTCCCAGCATCTTCCCAGGTCCTGGGCAGAGCTGTTTACCCTGTTTTGGACCAGCTAGGATGCACATGTGGCAGCTGGAATTTTTGCAATTCCTTTCATTCAATCTCTGTTTTCTCTGACATGATTCATGCACTCAGGCTACAGGGAAAAAATACAGAAATTTATCTTGGGACTGTAACAATCTGGAAAGTTACTAAAACCATTGGCTTCTTCTGCTGTTGAGGAGCAGAGGAAAGAATGCTGAAAAAGTGTGACTAATTGTTCTTCAATATACAGGAGACACGAACCAGAAAAGGAGCTGTCTTACTGTGGCTGGGGAGTTCATAGATCTGTGATTCACAGCATTACAGGGCCCATTTGGCATGCAAAAAGAGAGGATGATGAAAGGAATAGTTAGTCATGGAGAAAAAGCTAGACAGAACACACAAAGGTGCTAACCCCTGGGAAAGGGAGCGTATTCAGGTGTGACCCACAGCCTGGGAAAGGGAATAAGGTCTTTTCTTTACTATCCTAAAATTCCTTCTTAGTTGGCTAAGCAGAGTACTCTCCATCCCAGCCTTGTGAGAGCACCACAAACTCCAGAGCATTGGTCAAGCCTACCTCAACCCAAGACAATGGCATAATGTTTTTCAAGGTTCTGATAAACTAGGCAGCCATACTGTCTCATGACCATATTTTCTTTTTCCCCTCACACTTTAGAAGGTATTATTTAAGGCAGGGAAAAGAGGAAAAGAGGACATCCCAGCTATACTGTTAGAGGGCACAGCATAGTACCCTCAGCATGCAATTGCTGAAATCACCACTGTTGAAACGCTTGAAGATAGCGTTTCTGTTAAACTTTCACCTCCTTGAAAACAGTCGCATTCAAAGTAGGAATGAAGGAGAATGATTTGCCTAAGGGATCTCCTTGTCGACTCATGTGATTGCTGTTGAAAACGGTCTGGATCTAAAAGACCACAAAGGTGTTTGATGTTCTTCACATATCCTTCAGCAAAAGAACTGGGAGAACAGTCATTGCTCTTGTGTGTTTGCATTTTCAATCACACACATGAAACAAGCTATGCCCTGCCAGTTTGGAACAAGCTCTGTCCTGCCTTGTACCCATGCTGGGTCTTTTTTACTGCTGTGTGTGAAGAGGATGGGCAGGAAGGGGGCAAAATGATATTCATAGGGGAGGAACAGGACTGGAGCTACGGGGAGAAAAGAGGAAGATAAATGGAGAGGAGAAAATGAATTAGTGGGAAGAAATAGGGCACGCACACACAAGAGGAGGAAAAATGATGAGATGGGAAGGGAAAAGGTAACGGAAACAAAGGAGCTCAAAAGACACAAGTGAGGATGAAACTATGAACATAGAAATCGAGCAGGCAGATATGAAGAGAGACATTACAAGGAAGAAAAATAAAATAAAATGCATGGAAAATCAAGAAAAACATAAATTAACCCTCCCTCCAAAAAGCAGCTGAAAAGAAAACATGGGATAAATCAGATTGGTAAAATGGCAGAAAACAAAACAAAGAGAAAATATCAAAGACAGCAACACAAGCTGAATTTAATACTGTTCATGGGACAGACCTTCCAACAGTTATTTGTTACGCTGTTGCCCTGTGGTCACAGTGATATGGATGACCTCTGGCCTCTGAGTGGATCTCTGAGCAGCAAGGACAAGCAATGGGAAGTGACGGCCACAACCATGACTGTCAACCCACAGTCTCCAGAGGGGGAGAACGATCCCATGGGAAAACATGTGGTAAAGCAGAGAACTGAACCTTGGTTTACTGTGTCCTTTATGTCAAGACAGTCTTTCCTCCTCTGCTGACTTTGATGAATGAATCCCTCCTTCACTGCTATCATTCACCTCCAGTTTGGACATTAGCCCAACCAAAATCTAGGAAAAATGGGACACTACTCCTAGAGCATGGTAAACATTTCAGTCTGCTGCCACAAGTAATTTTTCCAGCACAGACTACAGCCCATTTTCTCCACTGTGAATAAATAATTCCAAATTGTTTTGCTGTCTTCCTGCAAGTTTAGGACTACCAGCCAATTGGGGAACATACTCCCATCATGAAATGAATTATGGCCAACTAGTACAACTCAAAATATGGAAAAAGTGAGTATAAAACTTTTAGAAAGATTTCCCATCACACAAGAGGCGAAAATGAGCAATTGCATCACTAGGAAATTGAGGCAATTCGTGGAACACTATCATATCACAATGCTTACCATGGGTGTCTTTACTGCATCTGTTAAAGCTCTTAAATGCTGCTCTGAATGATCAGGCATCTCCAGGGCCTCACGGTGTGGGCAATGCCTGTGTTTGGTGCCCCACAACAGTCCACCAGGGTTGCTAAGTCACCCACTCACACTGTAGGCACACCCTCGAACAGACGGGCGACCTCACTACTTTTAGTAGCACTGTTTATGCAACAACTAACTGCTCATCCGAGTGGGAGCTTAGCAGCAGTTAGGTTTAAAAAAACACCCACCCAGGAATATCTTCTCCCATCTGAACCAAGATCTGGAGCTGAATCCACAGCCTGGTCTGGGTCCCACTGGTGTGCCTGTGTGCTTGGAAAGCAGGCACCCCTGCTGTCCCAGAAGGATTCAGAGCATCCATTTGGGAAAGAGCAGGCAAAATCAGTCTGTCACCCTTTATGGCTCTTCTTACACCAGTAAAGTTGAAACGTAAAGGGCAAGGTCTGGTGCAAAAGCTGTAGGTAAATCTCACTGGTATATTATTATTTTTTACATCAGATTGGTCAATTTTATACTCAGCTATAACTTGCCCTATTGAAACTTTTCTAATCCCTTTAGAATATGAGTTAAAGATTAATCACTGGTAAGGATGATCCTAAATTAAAGAGGCACAGTGCAAGGCTTTGTAATAAACAAGGAAACTGCTGCTATCTAGAGACACAGAACAGCCACATTTAAACTTGCCTTCTTCACTTTAGCCCAAAGAAATACTAACTACACTCCCCTTAGCCCCTTGCCTGGTGCCAGCCAGCATGTGCCCATCAGAAACAATGAATACACACGACATGTGAACAGTAAAGGTAATTTGTTGTGATTGTTTTACAAGGAAGAGATTAAACTGTGACTACCCTGTAGATTTTAAACAATGTGCTTGTAATAAAACTGGTGCTGTTGTATGCAATCAGAAGTCAAATAGAAAGTTTGACATGCTTAATGCAGCATTCATATGGAAAATGTCTGCAGTGGTAACAGCCCAGCCCTCTAATTTCAGTCTTTGTTCTGAAATGAAACCTCAGGCCAGGTACCTCTGAACGTGTGCTGGAGTCCCTGTCAAAGGACAGAGACAGAATTTCTCCGTGGAAATGATGCAAAGCTCAGCCTGCCTCTGTGCAGGCAGAAACACTCTGGAGCCATCAGAAAACAGGCTGTGTTTGAGATTCTTAGTAAGCACATCATTGCCACACGTGACAGCACGGGGAAATGATGCACCTCAGTTATCCTGCCCGTTCCTCAATTAACTGAATAACTCTACACTGTTCCTGGGAGACACCAGAGACATTTACCTCATCATTTGATGTATTCCTACTGTTAGAAATAGCCCATAGACATTCACCCACAAGGTTCCTCAATGAACATAATCGCATAGAATATGGCCATGCATTTTAACCCATTTTACTGGGTTAAGAACCCAGGATGGCTGCACACCTGGATCTCAGTAAGCTCTTGGGGAAGTGCAGAGGGTGACACAGACAAGAGCTGGGGCTCCAGCGTTTGCTCTGAATCACCGGGCTGACGTGTGGGGAGGGATGGCACAGCCCAGGGCCAGGAGGCAGGTGGGAGAAGCTGGAGAGGGCTGTGAGACAGGCTAAAGCAAGGGACCTAGATGTCAGGAGCAGTGCAGGTCAAAGCGGAGGCCGGGGGAGGCCGGGAGGAGCGTGTGACAGGAGCTGCAGACCAGCAGGCAGGGAGGAAGGAGCATCAGGCAGTGTGTGGGCTGGGCAAAACTACCAGGCATCCAGGCAGGTGGGGCTAGCTGTGCTCCCAGAGCCAAGGTCAGCAGTCCCACACTCAGTGGGCAGGGAGCTAGTGTCCACAGACATCTATCTGTGCTCCTCTTAGGGCAGGATCAGGACCTCGACATATGCACTGTGTGAGGGTGACAGAGCACTGGAACAGGCTGCCCAGAGCGGTGGTGGAGTCTCCTTCTCTGGAGAATTCAAAAACTCGCATGGACACATTCCTGTGCAACCTCCCCTAGGTGAGCCTGTTTTGGCAGGGGTGTTGGACTAGAAGATCTCCAGAGGTAGCTTCCAACATCAACCATTCTGTGATTCTGTGATTTACTTGAGGACAAAGTCAATTAGTAATCTCCCAAGTCATTTTAAAACATCCCAGTTATTGAGAGTCTCTCTGATGAGTCAGTGAGATGTCCAGGCTTTGCACCACAACCATCACCACAGTGTCAGCATCAGAAATTCCTTTGAAAGCAAGGATTTCAAGGTTCAGAATAAAAGACAGTTTGCAAGTCTGTAAATTATTTGCATCTTTGACTGAAGGCTCCAACCTTTGTTCAAGCTTGAAAGATATTAAGCAACTGCTTGAGAATCACCATTAATTTTTTTAAAAAGACAACAAATAAACCCCACATTCAGTAACAATTTGCTTGGAGTTTAATCTGCACACCCTTACTGCAGACCAGTGAATACCAAAAGAGGATGAGTACCTGCTTTGTAGGTCGTTCAGGTGCAATTTGCCTACATAATGGGTGGCTGATGAGACAGTGATGATCCTAGCATGGTGACTGTGCGTTCCTGATTGCTTCAGCGTGTCCAAGAGGAGGTTAGTCAACAGGAAGTGTCCCAAGTAGTTCAAGCCGAAGTGCTCCTCAAACCCATCCTCCGTCTTACTTTCAGGGACCAGCATCACCCCAGCTGGAGGAGAAGTAGAGGTAGAACCTGTTAATTTATTTCAGAGAAGCAGCAAGCTAGAAGGAACACAGATCCCCTGCTGCAGAGTCTAAACAGAGCATTTAGAACACTTTGTGACTGGTGATGGCATGTGAAGTGTAAAGCTGACACTGATTGATTCCTGATGAGAAAAATGTCACAACCCCACCTCAGTTCCTTTATCTAGAAAACAGGCAGACCGACTTTCTCCCTCCCTGCAGGACTGTGAGGATAAATGAGTTCATTTGTGAAAAGTGTCTCAAATATATTAAAAGCTGAGTTAACTCATTGCTGGCATGCCAGAATGCAATGCTGCACATCCACAACAGTAACAATAGGTGGGAGCTGGGTGATCCCAACAACATTCTTTCCATCAAAGTGCTCAGAGCATTGGAGACAAGACCAGGCTAAGCAGCAGACCTGCTCTCCCAGACAGCTTTCTGCTGAGTCTTGGCTGAAGTTTAAAGATCTATTGAGTCTTCATCTGAAATCTGCAACTTCTATCTCACTGGTGTGGGTGAGAAAAGATGTAGTAAATTTACACAATATATCTTAATTACTGTGCTTATAAGCAGCTGCATATTGAAATGAGTTTTTGAATGCTTATTTTGGCAATATTTTTGCATATATTTCTACAAACCACAATTTTCAGACTCAGTGCCTAAAATAAGTATCCACATCCCCAACACGCAATGTTGATTTCAGCATCCTGCAGAGAATCCTGAGCTCATGTATAAATTATATTGTGTACTGAGGTTGTGTGTGGGATAGCTATCCCATTCAATTATAACGTGGACTTGAATGTTATAAATTATTCTTATTTTATTAAAATGTAATTATTGTACAAGAGGACCTGACCTTCGTAATTTTGATGTAGATGGAAATGGCTCATGGAGAATTATGTTGTAAGCCATTTGTCTTCTTTCTAAAACACATGAATATGATACAGCAGAAAGGCCACCTCTACTCACAGGCATGAGAGAGAGTGTCAGTTTAATCCGTGTGCTTCTTCACGTGTCCATTAAAAATCCTTCAACATCCCATTTCTTGACATCGGATTGATGATGGCATAATAAATTATCACCTTAAATTGCACACGCTGTGCATCTGCACCTGTCTTTGGGAGGGGATTTCCCACTACTCAACAGCTCTGCTTTGTTACTGCCACTTGGGCTGAAGAGGAGACATTTCAGGATCTTTTTAGCAGTGCCAACACTTACAGTGACTCATCTATGGGCTGCCTGCTGCTTAATAGGCCCCAATGATGAGGAAGAGCTGGCCCTGTGTGAGAGTACAGCCCAGAGTAAAAAATGGGCATTTTGTAGGAGTGGAGATTATGCTAGTCTCTACTGGTTGCAGAGACTGTGGGTTTATTCAAGCAGGGGCAAAAAAGCATGAGGGAGATGGGAAAAGAGCAATGGTGAAAGGATGTAAACAAAGAATGTAAGACATTGCAAACATTGGTATGGTGGTTAGGGAAATGCTGGGCTGAAGGTTGGACTTGATCCTAGAGGTCCTTTCCAACCATAATGATTCTATAGATCTATTCTATGATGGAAAAGAAAGTGAGGAACAGAGAGGATGACAACTGGAGATGCAGCATAAGGGAAAGGAATGAGAGAGAAAAGACAGAGCAAACAAAAGGTTTGGATGTAACACAGAGTACCCACCTACAGAGAACTTACCAGTGAACATGAGTGAGGCTGGCTGATAGTACAATGAAAGAAATACAACACAAATTACTTGACTGGGCTGTACAAAAGCTCTGACTGTCATCTCCTTCTCCATCATTACAGCCACTTTCCCAGATCTCAGGATGACAGGAAAGCCCAGCTGCCAGATGTGGTTTCTCTGCATGTCAAATGTGAACTTGAACAATGGGAAAGGCACAAATTAGAGGGTATCTGTTGGGTGTCCCATTGTATTGTCCTTCCTCCACAGCACTTACTCTGATGTATGATGCAAGTGCTCACAGAGCTGGAAACAGATTTCCATTGCCTCTGCAATCTGCACGTGCAGCATATAGTGACATGCAGAACAACAGCCAGGACTGAGCGCTGGCGTGGAGGCCACGGACAGACATAGATGTGAGACAAGCCCTGCTGCAACTTCTGCTTTTCTGGGAAGAAGGAAAGAGT